TCTCCCTCATCCCTCCAGGGAGGAGCGAGCAAGCGGCTGTCTGGTGCCTAGCTGCTGGCTGGGATTAACCGCAACACAAACACAGAAAAAGAAATGGAGAATTTTGGACATCGTTAAGGGTCTGCATGAATGAAGAGGGGCTCTGGAAAGCGCGCGTGAATTAAGCTCACCGCTTGTGTACCTTCAGAGATGGTCCTGGGGGCTACGGGGCTTGAGGGTTGAGGAGGTCCTGTGGTCCACATGGCCCTTGGGTGCTTGAGGGTTGAGGAGGTCCTGTGGCCCATATCGCTCTTGGGTGCTTGAGGGTTGAGACAGACACTAACCTGTCTGTTAGTGAGCCTGTCTATGGGGTACCCCTTGGAGCTGCTGTTTCTTCTTCAGGTTGATGCAGCAGCTGGCCAGAGTGAACTGGGCAGAATTAGAGTTTACAACATTCTGCCACCAGGTGAAGCAAGGGGAGGTTGGCGTGGTATAAAGCACGTTACGTTGGGGCTGAGGTGGTGCTGTCTAGGAACAGTGGCTATCCAAAGTTATCAGTGGATGGTCCTTGATGTTACCAGTCTCATTACTGCCTTTGCAATGGAGTTAATTTTACTAATTAAAATAACCTCTCCTGTTGCATACTCTGCTGTTTCTATATTTAAATTATCCTCGATGCAGCGTTCAGTTGAGACCACTGGAGAACACCCATTGAAAACCACACTACTGATGGAACTGTGATTTTATTTTTTTAATTATTATTTATTGGATGGTAGTAGTCTAATAATTGCCTTTATAGCTTTCTAGAAAAAAAATTAATTTCTGTTGATGTTAATGTAGAAGATGTGTGAAGTGGTGAACTAGGCACTAAGAAGGTAATATGAGACATGGATTTTTGTAATGCATCTACTAAGAGAAACGTGGCGCCAGCCTTTATTATTTACTGTAAGTATGTTGCTTGCAAACTTTTTTTTTTTCAAGTAGGGTATTAATTATTCTAATAATTCTCTGCTAACACATAATAGAGTACAAACAAATAGCACATTGACACCACAAAGCCTACCTGATCTTGAGTGCCAGTTTAATAAGTTAATATGTTTTTCTTCCCTCTATGTTTTGGAGAAGACTGAGCGTGCCCAGGCCATATTTGTGCTGTAAAACAGACTTTATTGCCCCATTTCACCAAAGGAATTGATACAGTGACCTAAAGCTTGCATGTGTGTGTGTGTGCATGTGTGTGTTCTTGATCTACTGTGCTGACTGAAGATTTGCGAAGGGGCATTTCATGCAACATGAACCGAGGGCTAAAATTACTAATACATGCTGAGAGGTGTAAGCTAGTACGTAGCTGGCAGAAGAGGTGCTGAACAAGGAGGTAAACTTACTCGTTATAAGGAAAACAGTGCAACTCAAGTTGCAGCAGAATTGGGGTTTGTCTCACTGGACGAATTTTATCAGTAGCTCTTTGGATTGAAAAAGTGACATAAGCATATGTATATATTGCTGTGTTTAAAGCCAGCAATCACTGACTGCCAATATAAATCTGCTCTGGTGGCTTGGGGGAGAAGTAAATTGTAGGGAGAGCAAAGCTATTTTTGAACAGCTATTTGAGCAGTTTGCTTTGCTTTAATTTTTTTTTTTTTTTTTTTTTTTGACTGAGCTGGTAGTTAATCACGCCCGTCCCTGTACTTAACTAGAATATTTGAGGATGGTTTCCATTGCTAGTACTGGTAAGCATAGGTGCAGGTGCTACTGTCAAAACAGCTTTGCAAGAGCTGGTACAAAAGCATATGAGCAGATGAAGAGAGGAGAAGAAATTGCTGGTGGGAAACTCTGTGGTTTCATTCCCTCCAAAATAAGGAGGCTGGGCACATACATCTCCAGGCAGGCTGGGCAGTGTAATTGCACAGACAGGGTGAAGCTGTCAGGTTGGAGCCAGCCCGACATCTGGTTTTGTAAGTGGGTGTCCTGCTTTCAGCTGGAATAGAGCTAATTTTCTTCTTAGCAGCTAGAATAGCGCTGTGTTTTGGATTTAGTATGGGATGTGGTATGAGAAGAATGTTGATAGCATACTGATGTTCTTAGCTGTTGCTAAGAAATCAAGAACTTTTCCACTTCCCATGCTTTGCTAGTGTGCAGGTGCAGAAAAAGCTGGGAAGGTGCATAGTTGGAGCAATGGTCCCAAATTTGCCACTGAGATATTCCATATCAGGCAACGTCATGCCCAGTGTTTAGTTCAGGGTTGGCTGGGAAGCTGGCTCTCTCTACTCAGGGATCGCTAGCCAGGGACGGGCTGGGCATTGGTCAGCGGGCAGTGAGCAGCTGCACTATGCATCACTCATTTGTATATTATTATTGTTGTTATTATTTTTTTCAGTTATGGAATTATTCTTATCTCAACCCATGAGTTTTCTTACCTTTTTCCTCCAAGCCTCTTCCCGATTCCCAGGGGAGTGGGAGAGTGAGTGAGCGGCTGCATGATGCTTTTGTCGGTTAGGGTCAAACCATAACAGTGGGACAGCTAGACCGTGTACACAAGCTAGCCAACTCCTTGCCTCCACTTTGTAGGAGAAGATGCAAGTGTACAAAGCCATGTATTTACTAAAAACTGTTGGGAGAAAACATCCAGTAAAGTAACTGTATAGAGCTGTCTGGTGAGATAGGATCTGGAAACTGTCCTAGTCGTGCAACTGAGCTCTTGCAGTAGGAGCTGGAGCATGAAACCAGAATGACAGCACATACAGGGATAGGGAACTGGGTTGGGGTGGGGTTTTTTGTTTGTCTGGTGAGCCTGGGCTTTTTTTGCAGTTAATATGAACCTCATCTTTGCTGGTAAACTGCATCCATAGTCAGAGTGCCTTAAGTTTATAGCAGGCTGGTATGGTCCCTGTATAAATGTATGTGTGTGTGTGTGTTTGTGTATATATACACAGTACATCTGTAGAGTGGTTTTGTTGGTCTGTACTCATGGTACAGCTATGTTGGACAAAGCTGTATGTGCAGGGAAGCTCTAACATGGTCACATCAGCAGGAGAAAACAGCTGTTTCCATACCATGGTTTACTAGATGACCCCTTCTAAAACTCTTACAAGCAAGAAGATGTTTTTTCTTATCGTAATGCTTCTAAAGCATAGGTGGACCGTGCATTATGGGTTGCAGTTTTTTATAGATAATAATGTTATGGCTGAGTTTTGTTTTGTTTTGTTTGGTGTTTTTTGGGGGGCTTTTTTTTGGGTTTTTTTTTTTCACTAGGGAAAAATTCAAAGCAAGTGCTCAGCCATTATTTCTGTGACAGGTCTGCGCTGCCACCCCAGTGGATGGTTCCCTTCTGTTGAGAGCAGGTCCCACCACCCTCTGCTCTGATCTAAGCCTGGCTTGGAGCAGCAAGCCCTTGCGGGAGAGGAACAAGAAGGTCTTTTGGCCCCGGGCAGCTCTGTGGGACCCAGCCGATGAACTGATAGGCTGGCCAGGTGTCTCCCTGGTACGAAACAGAGGCAGAACTTGGGAACAACTTGTAGGGGGTTGTAAAGACTTAACTTGTGCTGAGACCACAAATTCACTTTACACTGATTTAAGTCTTGCAACTTACTTTTAACTCTCTGGGCACCAAAGGCAAACGCTTCTAAAGAGGGTCAATTTACAATATAATGAGTGTAACTAAAGAGTTGATGTGAGAGCTGCATGGATTAGATCCTACCTGTTAAGGTCTTTTTCAGATTTCAGATGCTGACATCAAAATAGCTATAATTTCTGTGTCCACATTGGCGTTTCCTGATAGGTGCAGCAGTTTCCAAGTGCTTACCATAAGTTCTGGTTATAAACCAGGGGGGGGAAATAACACATGCTCATGAGATTACTGGAGGGCTCCTGTTGGACCCTGGCTCTCATCAGTGACTGCAGGATTCTTGCACAACGTGGGGATGGTGCAGCCCTGCGTTGGGGTTTGGTGGGCTGCCACTGGACGTGATTTTGAAGGTTTGCATTGATTTCTGACCATCTCCTTTGTTGCAGACCAATAAAGCTAAATGGGTCCAGTCACTGGAATGACTCCGGATAAGAAAGCTGAAACACCAGGAGCAGAAAAAGCTGCAGGACTACGGCAGTGTCATGGGGTGGGAAGCTTGCCCGACGGAGGCGATGCCGGCAGACCAAAGTCCACCGTGGTGGACAGAGATTCAGCAGACGATGAGCTCACAAATTTGAACTGGCTGCATGAAAGCACTAACCTTCTTACAAACTTCAGCCTTGGAAGTGAGGGTCTACCGATCGTTAGCCCGTTATATGACATTGAGGGCGACAGTGTGCCATCCTTCTCACCATCCTGCTACCAGAACCCCGAAAAAAAATCCTCCACTTCCAAACCCCCTTACTCTTTCAGCCTTCTCATTTACATGGCCATCGAGCATTCCCCCAACAAGAGCTTGCCAGTCAAAGAAATCTACAGCTGGATCCTGGAGCGCTTCCCCTACTTTGCCACGGCACCCACCGGCTGGAAGAACTCTGTCCGACACAACCTCTCCTTGAACAAGTGTTTCCGAAAGGTGGAGAGAAGCCATGGCAAGGTGAGACCTGGTGGGAGGGAGGTGGATCAGGTTTGAAATTTAGGGGGGAATGGAGAAGGCTCTGTTCTCAAGGACTTTTGTGGTTTTGTTTTGGTTTTTTTTTCCCCCTCCATGTCCTCTAACGCTTTATTTCCAGCTGGAGATGGTTTGGAAATGCCACATTTGACAGATCACAGGATGACAAAAGTCACTTGGTTTTGTTACTTAGCGCTGACCTACCTGGGTGGAGCTAGCTGTGGTGCATCCTTTTTAAAGCTGGCTAACATGCTATTGCAAAAGACCCTGTTTCCACTTACTTAAAATTTTGTTAGCCTGCAATACCCAGCCTGAAATTTCAGACGTCTGTCTTAGGACATCTTTTTGCTGATCCATCTTAAACTGGTGCTCTCTCTGTTTTCAAATGCTGAAATTTCGGGGTGTGTTCCTCCTTCCCTGCTTTTCCAGCACAGCTACGGCTCTGATTGCACTGGGAAGCAGAAGAGATCATGGGATGCCACGCAGCTTTCTGGGTTTTGCCCATTTGGGTGCAGATGTGGTCTTCTGCAAGGCACCCTTGCTTGCAGGCATGCTGTCTGTATGTGGATGAGTGTTTCTCAATCTGTCTTGATCTTCGTTTACACTAAGCACAGCTCTAGCTTTCCAATAGCCGTCTTAATTTCTGCATTTAATGTACTGTATTGCTTCAACCTCTGTCATAACATAACAGCGTGTGTCTCTGCGTGGTGCAGACAGAAGCTTCACTTCTTATACTCTCTTCAGTACAAATTCTTTCTTCTTCTGGCTTGTGTGATTTTACTAGTGACTTCCTTCCTCCCCCTCTCATTTCCCATCCTATTCCTCAAAGAGCCAGCTCTGACTTAAATAAACCAACAAACCACATACCAAAAGTCAACAAACAAATCCCGGACCCCTACGCTTGGAGGTCAGCCTAAGCGGTAACAGGCTTGTTATCAGAAATGCACGCGATGCCTGGCGTGCTTGACAGCCTCGCGCTGTAGCTGGAAGTCCTGGAGCTGAATGGGCATCGGGAGGGACTGCCTTGTACTGGTAGGACTGAACATCACCTCATTTCAATATCCCTGCTTTTACATTAAATTGTTAGGGTGGTGTTTTCCCAAGCAGCAGCTTTGCCCTGAAAAAAAAGAAAAAAAGACTTTTTGCTGCTGTGTGGCAAGTCCAGTAACTGCCCCATAGCCGAGTCGTGCGGAGCATTAGGAAGGGTCCTCTGCTGACCCTGGCAACTCCACCAGTATTGCTGGGCTCAGAGGATGGCTTGCTGCTAGGTCTGACATCTCTAGTAGGAAAAACAAAATGCAGAATAGCTGCCACCACTACCAGTTAGGTGATGCTGATCTACTCTGTCAGGATTTTCCCAGGGCTCCAGCGACTGCGTAGCTCTCTAATTCTTAAGAACAGAAACTGCATGTACCAGAAAAAACCAAACCACCCCACAAAAAAACAATGCACTCCAAAAAAGCCCCTTCTGAAACTTTGTGGGACTTTCCCCATTTTCAGCAAACAGTAGCTAAATCTTTATCCTCTGCCCTGCTTAGAAAATGACCAGATGAGGGTACTGCTCCAAATTCATCCTGCAAAATAACTGTGGCGTGCAGCGGCACACGCAGACTCCACGGGAGTTGATCTGGCAGATGATGGGAATGCTGCAGACCCCTTGGGATGAGCTCCTCAGGCGTCACTTCTCGGAGCAAGCAGCGGTAGCTTTCAAGCTCATTTTGCTGATCACGTTGCCTGTAACCATGTGCTAGCCACGCCTCTGGGTGCTCCTCTGATAGGACAAGATAATTTAGTATTTTCTTCCATTTTTTCATAATTGTGTGTTGAAGGGAGCGCACAGTCAGCTTTCTTCTATCCCACGTGCCTGTGGAAGCAGAGAGGCCCATGGCACGTTGCATCAGAGGAGCATGGTTTATTTTGTAACATCAGGGTAAGAAGGGGTTTAGAGCCTTTCAGATGAATCTGGGCTGTCACATTGGAAGAGGAGGGGAGCTACAAAATCATCTCTTGGAGGTCTGGCAGCAAAAGTGGGAAGAGTTCATCCTCATGCTTGCTGTAATGCTGATATTTTGGTTTGGACTGGGAGCGCACTTCAAAGTGGATCTCCTGGTTTTTCCCCACTTACCCCCATGAGCTGGCTCTGCAGGGCAGTTTTGGGACACGTGAACTGGATTCATTTTGGCTGGTGCTAACCTGGAAGAGGTGCTGCAGGAGTGTGCTTGCTGTGCCTTGGTTGCTCCTGTCCCCAAGACAATTTAGCTGCCTGCTCATTTTGAAACGGAGAGTCATGACAGTCAGGTGGCTGCTCCACGCCGACTCTGGAGGGACATTTCCTTAGATGTTAAATAAGAGTCACACCTACATTTCAGTTAGCTCGTCAACAGCTGCTCCACTGTTGATGTGAAATAGTAACCTCCAAAGGCAGTTCAGCATTTTAGATTGTCTTAGGCTTAGTCTTTGCTAGGAGAAATAGCGCAATCTCTTTTGTTGTTGGGCTGCAGGTCCCCCCTGCC